AAGAAAGGGGGTGTTTATCTGTATATTAGGCTCTTTAGAATTGCACTGGAAATTTTAGGCATTTTGAGTACAAACACAAAGAGCCCTTCATTGTAATGGCATTAACGTTCAGGATAAAAGAGTTTCCACAGCTGCAAATTTGCATCCACTTATTGGGGAGGAAGTCTCATTGTGCTTGAACTAACTCCTGAGAAAACCTAAGTAGGTTTGTCCTCTAGGAAAAGTGAATGTTTTTGATTGGAACAATGTTCATCATATAATATTTCTAGACATTTCTAATCCTAAAACATGCTGTTTCTACATGCTGTGCAATAACATGTGTTCAAACTATTATTGTAAATATTGCAGGATACCAGGAAACAGAGAAAATCAAATTACTTTCATGGCAAACTTGACTTAACAGTTGCACTTGTTCTTGCTAAGTTTCAAGGACTTGTCCTGGGGTTAAGAAGTTTACTTCATTTACCAAACAAAAGGGAGAACTTTTGTATGAGAAAGCAATAGCTGTTAAGCCAAAGTGATATCTTAGTGTAGCTCATAGAGAGTCAAACTCTCACAACGTTGAATGAAATAAAAGATTCTTTCTAAAGATATGCATTTTGACATTTATATGTGGATTACCACACAGAATAAAAAGTGTTCAATTATGAAAGCAGGTTTCAGCATGCATAGAAAAAAGTTGGCAATTATTTGTTTTCTTTTCTCTTTCTTTGCTAAAGTGTAAGGAACATTTCGATGAATACTTCCCTACCTCTTGGATGTCCATGTTCAGACCATTACTACCAACTCAATACTAATTCATTAAAGCGATTGCCTTGCCAGTTTTAGAAGTGAGGGTTTCGTATGTGTGTGTGTGTGTGTGTTTGTGTGTGTGTCCAATCGTTTATGATGTAGCCCTACATCAGCTTTCTCAAACCTAATATCTCTAGATTTACTGGAATGGCAACTTTAAACATTTGCAGCCAACATGACTGCCACACTGCCAAAAAGAACTGGCTGCTTGGAGTTGATCTTCTTGGAGTTACAAAACTTTAGAAAAGTTAGAGTCTTTGCCTCTTCTCTTCCTTTGCCTTCCTTCCGGCTTTTGTGCTAAGAGTCTGGATGGAAAACACCCTGACTGGGCATCTTAAATTTGATAAGAATGTGCTGCCCAAGAAGAAAACAATTTAGAAGCTAATCATCAAAGCCTACATTTGGTTGAATTTTTACTTATTTGACCATTTGCCTTTCAAAGTATAATATTTAAGAATTGGGAAGATTTCCCTAGCATTTTCCAGATTTTGACAATGAGAAATGCCAATCGTGTGGCTGGACAGATGAATTTGTGGATCTGGCGCTCCTTAAACAGTTTTATATATAACATATATAATATTCTGAATGTCCAAATAACAATGTTTGGATTACTCTTGACAGTTGGAGTTAAACAAATGGTCTGATTAACTGGAAACCTGCACAGTATTTTTTCAAAGGGTCTCAATGATTGATATTCACCTTCCAAAGAATAATATGTATGTATGTATGTATGTATGAATGTATGTATGTATGTATGTATGTATGTATGTATTTATATATCAAATTTGTCACCGCCCATCTCATTGAATCAACTGCGACTAGTGCAGACCACTTCAGGTCATAGGTGAGAAATCATGACACTGAATGTCCCTACGCTAAGGTCCAAGTACCCTCCGAAACAACAGACTAGAGAGACTGAAATCCAAGACAAATGAGTGCCTTTTGAGATTGTACATGGGAATAGTTCATGTCAATTCCATATACCTTATGAAGTAATATAATGTTTCCATGTGTGCATGTGTAGGGAGTTGCATGGTAAAATGGGGACCAGTTTCCCCATTTTCTAGCTACCACACCCATTTTCCATGGTGACTGGGGATTATGGGATCTGTTGTCCCAAACCATTTCGGGCAGGGCTTCAGCTAAGAAAAGCTGCCTTCAGGTCTAACAGCCTTCAAGTCTAACCATTATATTCCAATTTCTATTTCACGATATTCTTTGTATTATATTACAAAGAATTGTGGAGTCCTTGGGGTTCTCTGAGCTTGGTTGTTTTCTTGCAGACATTTCGTTACCCGACTGGGTCACATCTTCACTCATCTTGGATTCCACAGTTCAACCCTGAACTACATATATTCTTTTCTGTTGATGTTACAAAGAACGTTGGCACCGTAAAGAACAAAAAATTAATTATTGCTTATGCTTTTGATTTAAAAAAAATCTCTTAAGTCTTCCTTACAATTGCTGCACAAAGCTAATCTTAGTGAAATACTGTTGCTTAAACAGCATGTCACACTTCTATGTTCTTTCTGGATAGATTCTTTCTGCTTTTAACCTAGGCTGTGCAACCTGAAATCCAAAACTGGGGTGGGGGGTGGGATGGGAAAAATGGGTGTGGGGTAAGACGTAGGTTACCTATGAATCAATTTAAATGTAATTAAATACAAAGAAAATAATTGAGTAATTCCCCTTCTGATCTCACTGAAATTGCAATTTTGTAGTGGGACACTTTGGAAGGGGCTGTAAGTTATGTAGCTCTACCATCGGGAGGAAGCTACCTGTGATGGAAAAGCAGCACCTCTTGCATTTGGAGGAATCTTCTGTGATATATTTTCCTAAACAGCAGTGCACTGTGTGATTTTTATTAAACACTCACAGTTAGTTTCCATTGTGCCAGGCATAATTTTCTGCAAAACAAGGGTTGCTCTGTATGTATTACCTCTTTCCTGCAATAATATAGGTTATTATATTTAAGACCCCCAAATTATTTCCCAGATTAAAACATGAACTTGCTTTAAAAAAATCTGAACAGGTAATAAAAATGTAAGTTTGATGGGAAAGCCATCCATTCTTTTTAATGACATTATTCTAGCATGTCCTACCATGTCAGAGTTGCCTGTATTGCGGCATCTCTGGGCAGTCTGTATGTTTTTGGAGTGTGATGGACACTTTTAGCACCTTGTTCTGCCTAAGTGACTTTTCAGGTCCATCTGGGCTCTGCCTGTGGTCTTCATACATGTTTCTGCATATAGACATCTTTAGAAGAACCTAGTAAAATACACCTGCAACCTTAAATGGGTTGAGGGTATGGCAATTTGGAACAACACTTTAAAGTAGGTGGAAAGGAAAGGTATGATTACTCCTGATGAAAGATTTATATTGTGGTGCAGCCTCTGAGACACATTTATGTAACTTTGATCTTTAGGTAACTATTTTTTCCCAGTGATTTATATGGATTGTGAACTAATGGATGGATTACCCTGACTGATTTTTTAAAAAATAATGTAATAAGCAACAGCACTTTTTTTTTCCCCTTTCAACATTGTGAAAGAACATTTTCATTGGAGTATTCATTTATTCATCATACGTTTTTATGATCCCTCAAGAATGTAGCTACCAGACACGGGGAAGGTTTATAGAGAGGCAGAAACTCAGCAAGGAGCACTTATCTCAGCATTAAATAAAATGAAAAGAAAAGGCTTCACCTACTGAATTTGTGTTTGCTGCACAGTGGTGAGCAACTTGGGACCTCAGGATCCTTCTTAGTCATATTCAGTAAAAATCTACTGCCTGGTTTCTTGACATTTTGTAGTGGTGAACATGTTGACATTATAATGGAAGGCTTAACAGAGGCTTAATGTGTTTAAAACAAACACAGAAAATCCTACTTCCACCATGAGTGTGACGTAGCCCAGCCCCCTTTGCATTATTTCCTGACTTCCTCCCCCTGTTGTTAAGCATAGCCCGCAGCTCTTCCTGAAAATTTAATCCATTCTAGCATCCCTTTCCTTAAGTGCTGAAAAAGTTTAGGAAAGAGTAAGAGAAAGGCAGTGGACATTTTATGCATAATGCAAGAGTTATGCAGAATTATAGTACAGCTGCTGATTTTTTTTACCATTAATTTAGAACATTAAGCCACACATGAAATTGTACATTCTGTAGACACAATTGCCTACAGAATTGTATATTTGCTCCTCTAGTCCTCTGTTTTGTGTAGAAAGCTGTCTTTTTCCTGTAGGAAATCTGTGCTATGTGGCTTTCCTTATCGTTTATATCTTCATGTTGAAAAAACAGCACTCGAGACATTTCTGGGAGTCATGTATCTGATGAAGACATAGGCAGCGTGCCCATTAAAAGGCGGCAACTCTAAATATGCAATAGTCTGATTTGACATTTGTTTTTTAAAAGTCAATTTTCTTACATCTTTAAAAGTACCTGACATAGGTTTTGTTTGTCTGATCCCAGTGTAGAACTTCAAGATCTGGCCATTTCCTCTGACTGCTAGGGCCAGGTTAAGATGACATAAAAATTAACAAAAAAGTGACTTACATCCCAATCTGGCGCACTCTCACTGGGCAGTAAGTCTTCTTGAACACAGTGGGATTCTCTTCTGAGCAAACACCCATCAGATATGTTATTTCAGAGAACAGCTTCTAAGCAAGTAGCACTTAACTTGTTCCCTAGTTAATGCACAGATAATAGTTTTGATAGCATAAAATATGAAAACTCCTGAACAGGGAAATAATAATTAAAAAAAAAAAGTTCCTCATCTGCCTTTGCAATTCTAAAATTGAAAAATATTAACAAGTTCCTAAACTGCCTTTGTCTTTACTGCTGTAGTCTAGTTGAATTTGAGGAAGAAGATCTTATTTACCTCATCAATTTTACATGCAAGTAATTTTCAGCTGTCTTACTGTCCATCATACTAGTGGAAAATTCCTCCATTCATTTAGAAAAGATAAAGAGTTGTAACTTTCAAATTTGGTTAATGTGACATCTATTACTGGCTTGAGCTGTCAGCATTCCAAAAAAGGGATATCACCCCGATCTCCAGCCTATCAGGATGCATGAGGCTGAGTCTTGGAAAGTAAACCTAAACATTTACAGGTGTATAAGTACTGGAGCTAGCTAGCACAGATGATGCACCTGTCTCAGGGAAAGGACTAACACAGGTGTGTTGGAACTTGGGCTACTGCCAGAGCTAGATTATGAGCTCATTTGATCCACAGATACACTCACCACCACGCTGCAGCCCACAATTTCCAAACATCGGCCAGGAACCACCTGAAATGAACATCTACTATGAAAACTTCTTCCACCCCCAGAATGTTCCTAGTCCGCAAAGGCCCACAAACTTTGAAACAGGGGACTACTCTGCTGCACCCAATCCTTACTTGTGGTTGAATGGACCTGCCATTAATTCTTCACCGTACCTGCCAGGATCCAACGGTAGCCCATACATCCCACCATCCTATGGAATGCAAAGGCAACTCTTGCCCAACATGCACGGCTTGACGGGGAACGAAATGGGCTGGCTCCCTATGCCTTCTCAGGAGGAGCTGATGAAGCTGGTCAGGCCACCGTATTCCTATTCTGCCCTGATTGCCATGGCTATCCATGGGGCACCAGACAAGAGGCTGACACTCAGTCAGATCTACCAGTACGTGGCAGACAACTTCCCCTTCTACAATAAAAGCAAGGCTGGTTGGCAGAACTCCATTCGCCACAATCTGTCCCTCAACGACTGCTTCAAGAAGGTGCCCCGGGATGAAGATGACCCAGGTAAGAAGTTTTCTTAATACCAACTTTGCTCTCCAGTCTACCCTGATTTTGGCCATAAGATTTTCTGAGCCAGATTCTGATTCTGATTCTGTTTTGCTAACACTAAAGACAGGCAGGATCTCTATGAGAGGCTTTCAATATCTTTGGACTTATCTAACCATAATTGCACCACAGTGACAGTAATAAGGGTAGGCTTTACATCATTGCAGCAAAGGCTGGGTGATGCTAAAAGACACTACGGTATTGCTCACTGGGGGAAAATGGCTTGAGACCACTAAACTGTGGGGATGCTTCTTCCTTTACCAAATTCACATGACTTGATATTCACAAATATAATTCCTTAAGCCAGAGTTTGCCAGCCTTTGCTCCTATGCCTTTAACAGTTATGTGATCAGCAAAGGTTGGCAATTGATAATTCCATGCTCTGAGAAACATTACCTGTTGATTAAAGACACAAGAGCATTTTTCCTGTGGTCAGTTGGTTTTTTTCTTGGCTGTGAAATCAGCCGGGTCTTCCTTGTAATTTGTTGGTGGGTGAAACAATTGTTGGGAGACACTTCCAAACACCCCCCATTCCCACCTGCAATCTTGCCCAAGGTCAAATCCTGCTTTGTTTCAGTAAATTCTGCTGATGTTAATTAGGGGTCTGTCAAGTATTTTGTTGGAGAAGTCGTTTTTGTGTGTGTGTGTGTCTGATAAGCACAAACGGTGAAAATAAAAGTTCAGTTTTACCTCAAGGCAACCTGGACAAGGCCTGGCTAGAGTTATTTGAATACAAGCAGCCTCTCCTCCCTCCCTCCCTTCGTTTTTTTTTTTTTTTAAGGGTGTTGCCCAATCTGCTGCTTTTTCTGAATCCCAGCCAAGCTAAGCCTTGAGAACCAGCTCTTTGTTGGCTATGATTATATTTATGTTTTCTCGCTCTTGTTCTAACAGGGAAAGGCAATTACTGGACTCTGGATCCAAACTGTGAGAAGATGTTTGACAATGGAAACTTTCGGCGGAAAAGGAAGAAGAAATCTGATTGTACTGCCAGCACGGTGTCTTTGGCTTCTGACAAATCAGAGGACAGTGCCTTAAGTGGCAGTCCCAAGGCTCCAGAACACCCAGATATGTTGGAAAGCTCATCGGGGACAGATAGCTCCCCAGAAAAGAGGTCTCCGCCACCACCATCCACAACTCCCTGCCTCAACAATTTCCTCTCCAGCATGACAGCTTACATGAACGGGTCTAATTCGGTGAGCCGCTCAATGCCTCTGGGACTTGGCACTGATGCTGGGGACAAAATGGGACAGAATATGGTAGGCTTCAATTCCTACTCTCCTCTTCCCAGCCACGGGGGTGGAGAGTGGTCCAATTCCATGTCCTCTGGTCATCTTGGCTATAGTGGTTCAGTTCTCAACCAGTTCAATACCAGTTTCTACAACAGCCTTGCTGTCAGTAATACTCTGTATGCAAGAGAGGGAACTGAAGTGTAAACAAACAGAGGCCTTGCGACAGGAGGAGGATTGTGTAAGAAGTCAGAAAGAGAAAATATGTCAGGGAAAAGGGCTTCACATGAGCTCCCCTCTTCCCAATTTTTCTTAGACAAACCAAAGATTCTCTATTAACATGTTTCCAGACAGTGATGTTCATAGAATTCAGCGGCTTCAAATCATACAAAGACTTCTACTCAACATAAAAATTGTGAAGAAAAGCACATCCTTTTAACTTGCACATTAGTCAATCAGAAATAATTGGTTCCAGACTTTTTGACATTAAAGCAGAACAGAGTGATCACCTTAAACATAAACCTGCCTTGGAAAATCCACCCTCTTTTTGCTTTCTATGCATTCCATTTAATTAGTTGGATTGAATAGGCTCTCTTCCTTAACTGAAAACATGGCATGATCCAGCTGATACCAAGTATGTTTAATATCTCACTTATTCAATGGGAGAATGCTTACGCTTCTCATCCACTGAAAAATACTTATCCTGGGCTGGAGTCACTAAATGAAATCTACTTTTTCATCAATGTATAGTGATATGCAAAGAAGGTAACCAAGGTTTGGGAGTAAACTTCCATCACCCTTTTCTTAATATCCAGAACATACATAAAAACTTGAGTTTCTATCATCCTATTTTTTTGTTTACAGATATGACTTTTTTAAAATTTACGGAAGTCAGTTTAATTTGCAGACAGGTGAATATAGTCAAACATGTCCTAATTGCGAAAAGCAATGTTGTATGATGTATATGATGTTACATGTTAGTTGAAGAACAAACTGTAGACTTTCTGCACTGTGCAAGACAAAAGAACCTGCTTCTAAAACAAGGTTTGATTTGGTTTTGTTTGGTTTTTGTGTGGGCAGAATGCTATTGTTGTGAAGTCTAATCGAAAAACCTCTCTTGGAAGTTATAAAAGATAAGATACTCACCAAAGTTCTAAACACACATACAGATATATTTTATCAACACCTAACACCTCATGGGAAAATTGCTATTAAATCTGCCTTTTTCTTTTATAAGCCTTAATATATTTCCACTGTATCTGAAATGCTTGTATTTAAAAACCTACGCTTAATTTATATGTTCTTTCCTTATACATTATGTAATAGTGGTTAAAGTTAGGGTGGGAAGTCCTGTTTCTATCAAGAGCTGCAATCGTTTGATGCAAATCTGTGGCAGACTGCCATTCTGCTGGCCACAGCAAGAGTCAAAGCTGTATGGGTTTCCTCCTCTGACTGTTTAATGCCTTCTTTTGTTCTCCCTTTTCCTCCCACCCAGGGGTCTGCATAGATCATGTTTTTCAGCGTTTGATCTTGAAGTCTTAGAAAGGGCCTTTGAAATTAGATTGAGAGGCATTAAGTTGCACACCCCTGGCAAAAATGTGTAGCCGTTGCACACCACGACCCTTGTAAGCCTACTTATTTCCGTGGGGCTTATACTTGATCTAGTAAAAGCCCAAATGCCCTCGGGCAAGGGTGCCAAAACCAAACAAACTCACTGCTCCTTGAAATTCTTATTCTGCCTGTTTTTGGTTCTGATGTCATTATGGGGGGATGCAGGGAAGCCTTTTTTAATAAAATATTTGTATACCAATGTGTGTGTGTGTGTGTGTACTAAGCTGGAAGCATACCATGAGTGCCAAACCAAATAAGATAAAAATGGATGATTGTGACATTCTTTTGACAACTGCTCCTTTTTATGATGGTTTAACTTGCAATTTTCTGCTGGGTCAATCCAGTATAAGGTATTATCATTTGACAGAATGAACAATGCAATGTCTGTCTGCATGCCTGATCTTTTGACTTCAATCCCTCTGAGCAACACACATGAATAGCAAAGGAACACTTGAAGCAATGGGACAAAAATACCATCTGTGGCTGCTCCTGTCTTCCCACATGCTCTTCTTTGATTGCAAAAGTTCTTGGAGGCTGGGTATTAAACAAGGGACAAATCATCTGACATATCAAAATCAAAAGGACATGATCCGGTCCTTCTGTTCTATAGTGCAGCCACATTAAGTCAGTGCATGGCTCTTTCAATGAAATCAGTAGGATTTGGTGATCTTACTCCCAATTCCTCTTTCAAGGCAAAGGATGTCAGAAGGAGATAGAATGGCTGTGTTTCTAATGTGCAAGTATATTGTGCTATGCCTGGTTCTAACCAACACTGTTTTTAAAAACTGCCTACTCTACAAAAAGTTGAGATTTATTGCAGCCCTATTTGGGGGTGGGGCAAGGGCAAATGGGGAGACCAACAACCATACACATTTGGAGGTGTGAGGATCTAATTAAAATCCATATGATTACAAAATAAAAGGATGCAGGAAACAAAATGCCTATTCCTGCAGTGTAACAGTTGAGATTTTTTTCTCAAGATCTTAGATAAAGATCTTGAAGGTTGGGGCCCTATAAAGCCTCAATTTAAGGCTTTCCGTTCTGCTACTGCAAAGGACTTCTGCCACAAATGACTAGAGACAGACTCAGGAGAACGGGAATCTTACCCCCATACTTCTTGTCTGAGATGCTCCATCTGAATCAAGCAGTCTCAGTGTCCACCCACCCCTGTCATATGGACAGGCAGCACATTTTAGCTGAATTCTGTGATGTGGCTTTGGCTGGTTTTAGTATTTTATGCAAAAGCAAAAGAGAAGCTTTGGTGGGAAGAAAGTGATTGAACTTCACACTGTGGACTGAACCTGGATTGTACTGATGCTAGACTCAGACCAGTGAAGGAGCTCTTCCCATTTGCTCCAAACTTACAAAGTCCAAGGCATTAAATATTGAAAAAAGGTGGAAGGAAAAGGAACTAATACCTAACCAAGAGAGGGTCAATAAATAGCCAAAGCATCTTTGCTTTTCAAAGGACCCTTCTGGGCAGTGAGCAAATGTTCTCACCACAAATCCTGGGATTAGGGAGATATTAGGTACTGGCCCACAAATTCCTCTGAGTTGTCCCTGAAAGCAGCAGGTTCAGTGTGTTAAGGGGCTAAATTGTCCCTGCTCATGATGCTGGCAAGAGATTTTTTTAAAACACAAAGACCACCTTGGGGGTTTGCCACTGCTGTTTTGACTTCCCAGTCTAGCTGCCAGCTGTGGGGTTTCCTGGTCATCTTCCATCCAAGGACTTATCAAGTTTGACACTTCATAGAACTGAACTCCTGCCTCAAAATTCAAGTGCAGCTTGTTATCAACTGGGACATTTTACCATTTTTTTCCCTTAATAAAAAAGTGCCACCCTTTTAAGGTAAATATATGTTTAAAATTTATTAGCCTAGTTTGACGGTTTCCAGAGGTGTTAGATTTTCACTCCCATAATCTGCCAGCCAGCCAAGGCCTAGCTTGCTGGGGGGATTAGCTTTGGTTAACCCTTCATGTGATATGATTTAATTGATGCTTGGTCAAGAAGAAAAAAAATCACATGGAGGATTATAAAGCTTCCTCTGAGCTTCTCTGTTGCTCACCAAGACTGATGCCAATCCCACATCTTTGTTTAACTTGCCCCTTTCCAGCTTTAGCAAACCCACTTTCATACACACAGGTGTCTGTGTTGGCACACTCACTTTTCCTATCCTTTAATCTCTCACTCAGACTGATGGGGAGAAGGTCTTTAAGCTGCAAGACATAGCCAGAGAAGCCATTTCATCACAGAGAGAAAAATTTGGGAGGAGGAAGGATGGAATATTTTATGTTTCACTTTTCACTTGAATATGTGCCCTGAACAAATTGATGCTTTGTCTTCCCCACTAATCTAAGCAACTCTGAGAATGTGTCCTGTATGCAGAAGGTATATATATTTATTCTTTGTTAAGGTCTCAAACAAATTTTAGAGTTAGTGGTTTCTGTGCTGGTAGCAACAGTTAGGATGGATTTTATTTGACTCATGAAGCAGGAAATGCTTTTTCCTATGCAGGAACTTCTGTGCTCAGGAGATAGGCCACCAATAAGCCATGCAGATCTGGGTTTGGATATAGCAGAACGGACATGCAAAGGATATTAAAGAATGAAAGAGGAGCACAATCATTTAATCTGAAAGCCAGTTCTGACAGTAACATTACTGATCTTGAGAGGAAGTGCCCATAGTGACTTGGGAATTCTGGGAATTGAAATCCACACATCTTAGAGTTGCTGAGGTTGGGAAACACTGACTTAGATTCTTTGGAGAGAAAGGCCAGAGCATAGTTGTAGAATATACTGTATGTATTGAATTCCTAGCACTCTCAGCTGAAGAAAACAATAAAGCAGGGCTGACTATGAAATCCTTGGCCATCAGTGTTGTCAAGTAAGTTAGAACAACCAGTGGCCTCATCCTCTAAAGATGCTCCAAGCTCCAAATGGGGAGGATTTGTTGTGTTAGACTGTTCTCTAGCTCTGGTGGTCAATTTTGGTAGCCTGTTCTGTGCTTTTAAATAAATCTGGAATATATACATATACATATACATATACATATAGATACACACATTGATAGGATGGTGTGAATCCTTCCAGAGAGTTGCTTTGGAATAGGTGGGGGAGTTTCAAATCTCTTTCCAATACATTTAGGTAGTCACATCTTTGTCCTGGCTCACACAGCTGCTTTACAAGCTGCTCCCAGCTGTCTTCACCTACATGTTGCATGGACAGACACTTTGCTTGGTTTTTTTTTTTTTCTTTTTAATCTCCCAGCAAAGGAGAACAGCTGCACATACCTTCTGAAGCACCTCTTGGAAGGATTTGCACAACCTTCATGTCTATCTCAACCTTTCTTAATTTACTGCTCTCCAGATACATTAAGGCTACAGTTCCAAGAATTTCTCAGCAAACTGCCCATTCTGAAATGTGCAGTCCAAACTCATCTGGAAATGTATGTAATGTATGTATGTATGTATTTAAATTTATGGGCTGCCCAACACCAGTGGACTCTGGGTGGCATACAAAACTAAAGAAAACAAAAACAGCTAAAAACATTAAATCAGACAGCCCAGACTAAGACAATCTAACAGACAGCAAAATCA